CATGACAAGGCTTGAAGCATTGCAAAAACAAAACCAAGCTTTATGAGATGAAGTCCCTGAGTTAAAAGCAAATTTGCTGATAGTATCTGAAGATCTCTCCTCAAAATCAAAGTTGAAGAAACAACATGGCCGACAAACCGACGCGAGCTCGATCTGTTGAATTTATCTCTTCTCAATATGATGAGCTTTCTCAATTTAAAGAAACAGCCAAAAGGCAGATACAAGATATACTTACTAGAGTCAACAAAATTTCAGAAAGATGTGATCTGATTGCAAAAACTGTCGAAGAATCTGAAGCATACAGCTATCAGTTCAATGTTAAAATGGAGTACCAGAAATAGCCGAAAAAGAATCTGCCCAACAGACTGCTAATCTCTGTATCAAGTTATTTACTGCTTTGGGAGCAGAAGATGTATCTTTGAATGATATTGACACGGCACATCGAGTACCATTGCGATCAACTTCAAACAGACCAAAAGCTATTGTCTGCAAGTTTGTGCGAAGACTCGCCAAAGAAAAAGTCATGACTGCCAGAAGAAACGTTGGAAGCATGAATGCGGAGCAGTTGGGTCTTGAAATCCACGCAGATGTAGGTCATATTAATCTATATGATCACTTAACACCGAAAATTCAAGAGCTTTTGTACAAAGGCAAACAATTTAAATTTATAATGATTTTAAATATTGCTGGGCGAAGAATGGTCGCGTTCATCTGCGAAAGACAAACAATTCAAACATAATTATATTGAAATGTTTGGAAGACTTAGAAGGAATAATGCCGCCAAGATAAGTATATATGGGAAGTATAACTGTGTATATCGTTTTAAACACTCATAAACATGCTACCTCATAAACGTTGTTGTAGAAACAAAGCTGAAGTGAGGGCTACTAAGTTATAACTAAAAGAACTGCCCTATTTTAACTTTAGAGGTGATTTAACATGTTGCCACGGACATTTTAATAATTTAATTCCTACTGCATGCCAAACTAGAAGCAACTTAGACAAATTAACTAGCTTATATGACTTAGATGTCTTTGACTTAAACATTAATTTGGATAATATGCTAAACACTGGACATAATCTCTTTAATCAGCCTATCCAACGACAAGGTCAATATTTCTCTTCACATAGTTTTAAATTGGTCAAAAGCTTTCCGAGAAAGAGATACAGTCTAGTTTTTCGATTTTTCACAATAATATTGTGAGCATAAATTGTAATCTAAACTGTGCTATTAGATGAACTTGACTTTCATTTTAGCATAATTGGAGTGACAGAAACAAAAATTACAAAGTCAAACGAGAGCAATTTTCACCCAACCATACCAGGCTATTGTTTTGAGCACGCACCAACACCATTAGCTTCTGGAGGTGCTGGTTTGTTTATTGACAAATCTTTAAATTATATTGTCCTTGAAAAAATCACTATTGAGGCGTTTCAAGCACTTTGGATTGAAATACCCTTTGTTAACCATAAAAATATTGTATGCGGAATCATTTATCGGCAACATAATTCTCCTGAGTATTTTCAAAAATATTTTGAAGATAAAATTGAAGAAATAATATCTAGTGGTAAAGCTCTTTATGTCATGGGGGATTTTAATGTAGATCTTCTTAATTCTTAAATGCGAAAGATCTCAAATAAGCCATGATTTTTTATTATCATTACAAAGTTGTTATCTCATTCCAACAATAGATAAACCTACACGTGTCCACAGAACTTCTGCTACATTAATTGATAACATTTTTATCAACAACCCGGAAAAACTTCTCATCAGCGGAAATATTGTCTCTGATATAAGCGATCAGTTTTCACAAGTTTGTATCACAACATGTGCAAGAGATAAAGCTATAAAAAGACACTGTGCTAAAGTGCGAGATTGTTCTAGTTTTTCTGGTGAAAATTTTAATAACGATCTGGCAGAAGTTGACTGGGACAGGATGGTTGCAAATGAAAATGACAATGTGAATAATTTGTTCTCTTCATTTTATAACAGCTTTAATAAAATTGTAAATAAGCATGTATACCTATTAAAAAATTATCAAACCGTAAAGCAAAACAATTATCTAAGCCATGGATTACTATAGTGGAATCAGGGCATCAATTTCAATTAAAAATAAACTGTATGCTTCAGGTGATGATAGAAAGTATAGATTTTATAGAAACAAAATTTGCAACTTAATAAGATTAAGTAAAAAGAGATATTATCAAAATTACTTTGAGCATAACATAACTAATATTAAAAAGCTTGGGAAGGAATAAATGAGTTATTAAATCGTCGGAAAAAAGAGACTAAAATTATAAGTGCACTTAAGGACTTAAACAATAACCACAAAATGGTCACGGAAGCATCGCAGATCCCCAACATTTTAAATGAGCATTTTGCCACAGTAGGTAACAGACTTGCTAGTAAATTGCCTTCTTCTCAGAAAAATTACCTTGATTATGTTGGTAAATGCAAATCACCAACTTTATCATTTTTTTCACAACCAGTTTTACCTGAGGAAATTAACTTAGAAATATTATCAATATCTAATAGCAAATCGTACGGTTTGTACTCCTCGCCCACTATCCTTTCAGAACTAAGAAATACATCGATCGCATCGGGAATTTATCCTACCAAGCTCAAAATGGCAAAAATTATTCCTGTTTATAAGAGTTAGGATGAAACTGATGCAAATTATTATAGACCTATTTCGTTATTATCGAATTTCAATAGAATTTTTGAAAAGGTTGCATACAAAAGAATGATTAATTATATAGACAAACATGATTTATTGTACTCTTCACAATATGGCTTTCGCAAAGGACATTCAACTCAACATGCCATATTGGATATAGTAAATGACTACAAACTAATATGAATCGGAAGCTTTTCACTTGTGGTGTATTTATTGACCTTAAGAAAGCACTTGACACTGTGGATCACAACATATTACTAAATAACTCAGTTATTATGGTTTTCGTGAATAGTTAATGAATGGTTCTCATCATACTTGAAAAACCGCACTCAATCAATCCAAGTTGGTCAGCATATATCAAGTAAAGCAAATATTAAATGTGGAGTTCCTCAAGGGTCAGTCCTTGGTCCGTTGCTTTTTTTGTTATATGTTAATGATATCCACAAATGTTCAAGTAACTATTTGCTGATGACACAAACATCCTCTACGCTGATAGGAACGCTAAAGCTCTTGAAAATGTAGTGAATACTAAATTACAAAAGCTCTATGATTGGCTGACCGCCAGTAAGAATGATTTTTCATTCTTATCAAAAAAGACTTGATTATCAACCAAAAATTTGCATATTTGACAATGAATAAAACAAGTATGTGAACCTTGAATATAAAACCATTATTAAATATCTAGGTATTTTGATTGAAAAAATCTCACCTGGAAGCATCACATTGATGCCATTTCAACGAAAAGTACAATAACTGGATGATATTTGCGAGATTCGGCGATAAAAAGCAAAGAAGACGGCAAAATATGGCTGAAATCGTGTTTTCGTGGGGGGTAAGTGAAATAAAATGTATTATATTTAAAGAAAACAATGACAATCCTTATGAAGTCAACAATATTTATATTAAATTAAGCATAGTTTTTCACCCCATAACTGTAATTTTTTTTAGGAAATAAGAATATTTAATTTCTGCCAGGCATATTAGTTATTTTGTGCATAATCAGCAATTTACCTGGGGGGGGGGGCATAGTTATTTTCTGGTAAAATATTATACTTAGACAAATTTTTCCTTCCAATGACCACCCCTAAAAGCAACCCTTCTAAACACTATAAGCACTTCAGAAAGGCTATCGCTTTTCCTTTTTGGAAGTTAGAGCCATGTCGACACTGCCATTTCAGGGCGGGCCATGTTGACCGCCATGGTCATTTTACCCTAAAACAGTTGAGATTACCTGTCCTAAATGAATCGCATACAAACTCATATACAGGTCCTAGACTATAATTTGATGATAGGTGATAGGCATTGGTTCCAAAAATGAAAGTTTCAGCAGCTATTTAAAGGACTTGGAATTGAGTAAATTTTGAACCATTGATAAAACATAAAACAAATCTCTTGCCCAAAATGCGTTTTAAAATAAATTTCGCGCGCTAGCTATATTTAATGTTCCTAAAAATTAACCCACTCCCCTGCTCTGGAAAATTTATTTCTACGAAAATGTTTTGTTTATTCAACATTATAAGTACCCAAACAATCTAGGCCCTATATTTATACAAAAAATTCATTAAATGAACGGATCTGTGAAATTGAGAGCCGTTTTAAAATTGTCTACTTTTTTATATACACCCTGCAGTAGATTACAATTTTATTATTTTCCGTAAATCGCCACTATAACGACAAAATATTAAAGGCGGATCAATGTCCAGAATAGCCATAGTAATATATCATCTCCTCAATTCTATCATTTAAATCCTTTGCAGATGTAGCGAGATTAAAATATTCTTCAATAACACGATGTATACAGGGCATTTCAATCACAAAATACAAAGCCCTCGTCCACTAGTTCACGCACACGAAGAAGAACAAAATGGCTGACAATATTTACGCTTGATAAAAACCTAGAAACACTAATTTAATTAAACAATATATATATATATATATATATATATATATATATATATATATATATATATATATATATATATATATATATATATATACGAGTAGGTTTGTGTATACGAAACGCAAAGAGTGCTCAATATCATAAAGATAGAGCAAATGTAGAATTTCGCTTACCTCAAAATTCCGCAACAGTCTGTTTCATCAGTCAAGAATCATCATGATTCTTTACTGATGAAACAGACTGTTGCGGAATTTTGAGGTAAGCGAAATTATATATATATATACCGGGTGGCCCAAAAAAAAGTACTCCTGTTTGATTCGTAATAACATCTAAACAAGTATAGCTTTTAAAGAGAAATAACTTGCATCAAATAGAGGAAGGACTAACTTAGACTTTGATATATTACAGTTGTATTTCACTTACAAATTCACGGAGATATTAATCTTTAAATTCGGGAGGATATTTCTGGATGTGTCTGAAATATGCAAAAATCGGCGTATCAAATATTAATCAAGATTCGCCCGACTGAAACATGCACTATTACCAGTAAATAAATGACACTGGACAAATTGTTTATTATGAAACAAAGTATTATTATATCTACAAAATACAAGCAAGATTCATTCGTCCGAAATTCGCGTGTGTTCCTAGCACGAATACATTTCCTTATTTCATGAGACCACTGCATCGCGAAGGATCGTCATTGGATCGTTCGTAGTTCTGAATCCTAGCATGCTGTCACAACGGAATTGTGAAGCTCTTCTAACTTCTGCAACGTTCTGAAATCTTGTTAAGAACACCCAAACTCTTTTGCCGTTTCTTAATCTTGGCAAGTTCATGAAGTAAACTGAGAATTATATGAAACACAATCAAACCATACAACTCCATAAGACATAACAATTAAGCAACTCCCCAGAGACATGCAACATTTTTGGAACAAAACGTAACAAAATAGTAGCGTTGATACGGTGATGTGTATTTGCAAAAAGCAATATTATTTCCTTCAATAAAGAATATTCATCCTGCTCTAACCGAGAAATAATCAACTCAGTCTGTTTGAACCCATTAAAAACATAAAAAAATTAGGCTATTTAAGAAAAATTTAAGCGCCTGCCTTCCATGGTCAGTCTTTCATGTACATATTAAGTTTGTAAAGACCTAATATTAAATACTTGCATAATTTCGAACGTTCATATTTCAGGAAACATATGATCTAAGAGACTTACATGTAAGATGTCTAAATCTACACCATATCCCTTACAAACCCTAACGACAATTCGCTGAAATACAAGTTAGCCTGATATGTCATTAAGCAAACAAACGCTGGCGTTAATATTTGATATGCCGATTTTCGCTAACTTTAGACACATCCCAAAATATGCTCCCGATTTTGAACATTAATATCTCCGTGAATTTTTAAGTTAAATTCAACTGTAATATATCAAAATCTAAGTTAGTCCTTCCTCTATTTAATGCAAGTTATTTCTCTTTAAAAACTTTACTTGTTTAGAAGTTATTACGAATCAAACAGGAGTACTTTTTTTTGGGCCACCCGGTATATATATATATGTATATATATATATATATATATATATATATATATATATATATATATATATATATATATATATATATATATATATATATATATATATATACCTAATTTATACATACTGATACATACCTAATTTATTCAAAAGTGCATCGAGCTAGCATAAATGTCTAATTATTTCCACTACAGTTCATTTTGGGTTATAAGGGACCGGTCATAAAGTAACTGCTAGGGTGGACTGGAGTGATTCGGGATGGGCCATGGAAAATTTTTGGGCAGTTTCGATGGACCGCCAATTTTTTTGTATGTCCACGGTTGGGCTACCAAACAAAAACCCAACATGGGCAGATATTAAATTAATAATAGAAGTAAATAAAACTATCCAAATTATTAAATGCAAATGATGTTATTGAAGCCAGTACTTTGTTTCATACAACAACAAGAAGTGGTCGAATCACAGCAAATATAACCAAATGGAGAACAGCTCAGTATCGTAATTGGTGATGAATTTGTTGGTCAACTTGGTGCAATTATGTTGGTCAACTTGGTTTATTATGAAAGTGTATTTTCCCAATTTAGATTGGGTGGGTGGGTCATGAAATAAATTTGGTAAGATTAGATGGGCTTTGAAATTTTTATCTACATCTTAAGATGGGTCACCAAACTTATTGGAAAAATTTGTGATTTACCTCCAGCCCACCCTAGCAGTTACTTTATGACCAGTCCCTAATCTCATATATTTTAACTTAGAAGTTCGAAAACCCAATCAGTTATGTTTACTATGAAATTCAATTAACACACTTTACCATATTGGCATCTGTTTCCAGTCCAGCCACTCCTGCAGCTACATATTCCACGAGCTGTACAGCTTCCACCATTAATGCATACGGAACCACAATCAGCTGAATTATAGAAATACACATATTTCAAGTACATTTTGTATTACTATTGCAGAACTATCTATAAATGATTTATAATTAACCGTTACGTTATTGTAGACCAACTATAAGTTTTTTATCTCCCATAGATCACTCACGAAAGGGTAAAATATCATGGGTTACATGTGCAGCGAGCTCGCGAACAGTCAGAACGTTTTAATCCGCATGTTACAGAAAAGAGGTATATATTACTGAAGATATTGCTACATATAAAGGAGCATGTATATCCGTTTCACACTCATTAAAGGCATAGTTCAGCTTTTTGAAATTCGTGCGTCACTGGTCGTATAGTTCACAGATGCAACAATTACTGAAAAAATGGACTCAACACATTTTCCCATATTGACACATGTGTCCGGTACAGCTAGTTCAGCAGCTATACATGTTCCAGATCCTGTACTGCAACAGCTTCCACTATTATATACCGGTCAATTTATACCGTGTTAAAATTTACAAATATAGCTCGCATTATATTACTATCTATAAATTATCTGTAATTAAGTCATTAGATAATATTATTAAAGCCGCCAGATTATTATCTGCATTTACGAAAAGGAATTAACACGTTTTACCATGTTCACATTTGCTTCCAGTCCAGCCACTTCTGCAGCTACATGTGTCAGGTCTTGTACACGTTCCACCATTTCTGCATCCGGAACCACAATCAACTGCATAGAAATAAACAAATTATTATCAATGCAATAAGATTTAGACACATACTGCAGTTCGCATTTTATAACATAACTATACATACTATTTAAAGCACGCGTAGGAGTGTTTTATCACATATAAAACACGACGCGTAGCGGAGTGTTTTATATGTGATAAAACACGTCGACTATACAAGTGCTTTAAATAGCTTCAAAAACGACTCCTCTTATACGAGTTCATTGGCGAAGTAATTTTTAAAATAAACTTTGTCTAAACTGAGAAAATCAAATTAGCTATAGTTTATGTAAATTAACGTGATTTTTTATCACATATAAAACCACAACACGCTTTAAATTTTTCTTTGTGTTTTGAATGATCTTTACAATATAAATGATCTTTACAATATAAGTGGGATATAACAGACAATTCGGATTGGTTAATGCGGGTGCATTGTGACGCAATAATGCACTGTAGTGTAGTCCGTAGCACTGCCTTGTTCTTTCTCTGCTTTTCCAATTTTTTTCCGCTTTATCTAGCTCTGCTTTTTAGCCAAAAATATAAAAAACTAAAGAGCTTTCGAAATACAAAATTTATCAGAAAACAAGACTGAAGGAATAGACCAAAGGAACAAAACAATTTTATCTACATAGTTCCACGTGTAACATCAGTAAAATTAACTGGCTTGGAATTCGTTGAATTTGTTTTTGTTTGGATAATTCATGTTTGGAGCAAAAGCGTGCAAAATAGCCGAGAAAAACCATGAAAAAGATACAGGATCGAATACCAAAAAATAGAAATAGGCAACAAAAACTGAACATAAGTTATTCAGAAAGTACCCTCAATGCTTCCGATAAAAACGGCTAGATTCTAATATTTCTGCGCGTAAGGAAAAAATACAATAATTTCAAAATTTAAAACTGAGCAACACGACGCCGGACACCTACGATTTAATGTTTCTCATGGCAAATCCAGCAGCAAAAACATTAGCAAATTAGTCTATGTATCACTGGATTTTTTCCACAGCATTTTAAATTAAACAGTTTCTTCGCAACTTTGGCATCAAAATTTGATCAAACTTAATTTGTATTAGTTTTTCTCCTTCGCTCGCTTAAAAATTCAAGCGACGCTGCGACAGTAAAAGCATGCGTGACGACACTGACTGCATGTTAGGAGAATTTCAAAGTCTATCTTCTGAGTAAAATTTTTTGCCATGTAATATATTCTACTTATTTCAAACACTCATATTCATATATAAGCTAGCTTATTGGCAAATCATGTCAACAATAATATGTCACGTGCAGTGGCTTTAAACTTGATAAAACACTCCTAAATAGTATTCTTTATATAAAGAATACTAATAAGGCAGTATCTATTGTAATCGTGTCCTCATAAGTATTCTTTATATAAAGAATACTAACAAGGCAGTAAATCTATTGAATTTGTAGTCGTGTTTGAAGCCGTTTAATAAACTCGCAGGTCGTGTTTTATTAGATCTAAAGCCACTCACGCTGCGCGCTCGTGGCTTTAAACCTAATAAAACACTCCTGCTCGTTTATTAAACAGTACATTATAAAAGAAATAAAAAGCTCGTCTCGTGCGTTTATGGTGTGATTGGGAAATGCTGGGAGAATACGTGCATTATAATTATCACACCATGCATAAACGCACGCGACTCGTTTTATTATTGGTACCGTGCACTTATAGACAAGAGTTTCATTATCTTCCATAAACCGCGCACTAGAGGGCATAATATTAAAGCCAGATTATGATCTACATTTGCGAAAAGGAATTAACACGTTTTACCATGTTCACATTTGCTTCCAGTCCAGCCACTTCTGCAGCTACATGTTTCAGGTCTTGTACACGTCCCACCATTTCTGCATCCGTAACCACAATCAGCTGCATAGAAATAAAAATATACTATCGATGCAACAAGATTTAGGAAAATTCAGTTCGTATAAACCGTTTATATGTTCGGTCATCCCAAAGTAAGTGGGTGGGAGGGGTGTTAATTAATCATTCTTACTTGCAGCTGAGAGCTATAAGCTGAATTGTGAATGAAGCAGTTCAACCTGATCAAGTCTAAGGAAGTATAAGTAAGAGTGCCTCTGCCCGCCACCTTTTGACTCACGTTTGACCACGGAGCACAGCTACGTTAGTAGGGTCAATATTTGCCAGGCCTAGGGCTCATCCCATCCACTCTGTTACCATTCCCTGCGGGGAAGACCCGGAGTACCCACAAAAAAACGACGACTGTCGGTAGAGCGTTGAATAATTATTTTCAGACAAGTATCATGTGTCTCCGGCGAGAACCAAACCCACACTCTCAGCGATAGGAATGCGCATGCTCTGACAATTGCTCCACCAAAGCCCTGGCAAACAACACCGCGGAGAAACGTCTGCGCATGCACCAAATTATGAAAATATGGTGGGGAATTTGAATATCAATTTCTAAAACAAAAACATGCTTATTAACTGATCAAAAATTAGTAAAACAAACGAGAGAATACAGCAAATGGGTAGACTAGACATTAATTGAAAGCGTCCTGGCATTTAAAGTATGGAATGAAATATAATTCATGTAAAAAATTGTTGATTTTAACGGACACGACTTCGAAAATTTTTGCAAAATTATTCAACTCACGAAAATTTAAGCTTCTTAACCCACTCAAATTGTAGAATAAATCCTAAAGTTTAATTATTGTGAACACGATTTTTTTACATTTGGCGACACAGTTTTTTTTTAAAGAAATGTATCTCAAACGAAAATTCGGAAACTGTCGTTGCTTAGTTGATAAACAAACTGTTTCAGACGATAAATTTGTCAACAATCACCTTTAGTTCATGTTCTTGTGCAATACAATTTCTTGAACTTTCTGGCTGTATTTATTCCTAGTTTTTAGAATGACATGTTTATTTTTGCGCTCGGAATCTGGCTGCAAAGACGCACAATGAAGTCACTCCTTTTTACCGCCATTTTGAGCCTTCGGAAACGTTCGGAACAGCTTCTCATCAAGTTCGCAATACTATTACAGGTAAGGTTGACGCATGCGCAGACGTTTTTCCGCGGTGTTCCCGGCAACAACTTTTACCATATTCACATCTGTTTCCAATCCAACCACTTTTACAGCTACATTTTCCAGGTCCTGTGCAGCTTCCACCATTTTTGCATCCGGAACCACAATCAACTGTATAGAAAAAATACATTTTGTTAACCGTTGGTATGTTAATCATCCTTACTTGCAGCTGAGAACTAAGATGTATTGCAAACGACGCATCTCAACCTGATCAAGTCGAAGAAATTCTAAGTTAGGGTAGTTCCAGCCAGGGCCTTTTTTAAGGATTTTCCCGTGGGGGGGCATTTTTGAAAAGGGACCTTTCTGTGAGATAATATATTAAGGGTTTACTTGAGGCCTATCCCATCCCTCTCTTTCAACATTCCCTGTGGGGCAACCCGAGTACCCGAAGAAAACTAACACTTTTCACATGAGTGTTATGTGTACGCGGCGCGAACCGAATCCACGTTCCCAGTGATGAAAGGCACTTGCTCTGAAATGCAATGACAAAATCCCTGAAAAGACGCTTGCTCTAACAATTGCGCAACCGAAACCCAGGCAACGCATTTTACCTGATTGACATTTGTTTCCAGTCCAACCACTTCTGCAGCTACATGTTCCAGGTCCTGTACAGCTTCCGCCATTATCGCATCCGGTACCACAATCAGCTGAATAGGAAAAAACACATAACAATTGATGCCATTGCATTAATTATTTCCATTGCAT